CTTACCCGTGTTGCGTGTCGATCCAGCTTGCACAATCGCGTTTTCGCGGTTTTTTCCCTCGTGACAAGGGCTGCGTGAAGATCGGCCGCCGAAATAACAGCATAACGTCGGGGCAAGGGTAGACTACCGGCAGACAGCGACTATGGGGGCGGTGACCGCCCGCCAACGCGAATCAATACCCGCAGGAACAGGAACCACACCGACCTAGCGAGAGAGACAGCCACGCGGACAGAGAGAAAGAGAGAATGTGCGTGTGTAAGAGAGAGAGAGAGAGAGAGAGAGAGAGTGGAGGGAAGGTCCCAGAGAGTAAGCAGAGAGAAGCGAGCGAGAGAGGGGAAGGAAAAGCGAGCAGTATCAAGAGGAGGCGGAGAATGACGGGCAGAGGAGAGGAGAACAAGCCTGGCAAGAGCGACGGGGTGCAAACGGCGGCGGAGTAAGTGCCGATACCTGTCTACCTTCCGCGATTCCTTCTGCGGGTGCGCCGTCACTGTTTTTCATCGAGCCACCCCCGAGATTCAGGGGAACTTCAAAGAGGGCACACGCCTCGGTACTCTGCTCGTTTCGCGGCCTACGGGACCGCTGCGCTGCCGTGAAAGTGCCCAGAATTTTTCGCCCTAAAAATTTATCGCGACTGTTTCCTTCCTAGGTATTCTCCTTATGGAGGATCCTTCGGTGACCGAGGGAATTTTTGAGAATTAGATATTTCTTTCGATTGGTTTTCTTGCAGACTTAAATTTCGTGTCGTACTTTTTGTGCAGATCGATAGACTAAGGAAATTTCGACTATTCTTCTTAAATTCGACGTTTTTCTCGCTACTTTCGATCTTCGAAGGATTGATCTGAACGAAAGTGGCGCGGAAAGAATAAAATGCAATGTTGAGGTGAAGGAGAGACTAGGAGATAGCATCTTATTTAAAAAAGAAACCTTCTGAAAGACACTTAAGTCCTGTCAGCTTCGTCTGATTGATTTGTTCGAATTTCTTTTTACGAGAAGAGTTCCCGAGAGCAGCGTGTAGGTTTCAGGTTCAATTAAGGATAAGAAAATTAGAAGTGATTTATAACGAAGAACAGCAGCCAGCTATACGAGATATTTCGAAGTTTGTAAAAGAAGAATCTTCTATGATAAAGAAGAAGTGGTCATTAGGATCGTTAGATAGGAAGTTTGTATAATACATTTTGAAGTATTACCAGCCTATTTAGTTATCTACAAGATATCCGTAGCCTCTTCTACTACCTGTACTCAAACTCCTATCAGTCTCGATGAAACGTAGAAAAATATCGAAGACTAGCGAAGCAACAGAATTCTTTCTAATCTTACACACAACCGTGAAATCTCACGAATCACTGCTCAGCGTGACTCAAAATATGTAAATTTTCGAGGAGAAGCAGTTCGAGATCTGGCGTGAAACTGATTTTACACGATAAAAATGCCTACTGTGATATCAAAATTAACATTGTTTCAATTATTCAAGCAGCAAAGTGTTCTTTACCCAAAGTGATCCTTTCAATCAACACTGTCCACCAATTACTTTACCTTCCACTCCACACAGTCGTCTCTCAAAAGATCACACAGAGCACAGAAACTTACACTGCTAGCCGAAAGTTTCAGTTCAGCTCCCATTTCACAGAAATATCGGATCGAACTTAGAACCGACGATCGATATCAATTTCCCTCGTCTTAATGAATTTCTTAAAAAAAGATTCTCGAAGTCACCACCAATTCCTAAATAAAATTTTACCACAACTCGCAAAGCATGCCAAACTTTCGACTGCTAGCGTATACACACTTGGCGAGTGATAATTCTTCTCGACAGACTACCCAGAAATCGTCCCCGACAGAATCAAGCTCGATCTCACAGAGGAACGAAACGACACTGAAAATGGCCCTCGAAGACATTGCACTTAAGAATATCACTAGCGGTGCTCTTCTAAGCGTTAACAAGCAAGCGTTGGACAGTAATGGAGCAGTAAATTTCCGCGGGTAGCCCCGTTCTGGGAACGGGTCTCCCTGTGGAGCGAGAGAGATTGAATTCAGGGTTGCACGGACACGGCCTTGGCGGTGGCAGATAACCGGACGAGTCGCAGACGAGCTGGAACCTCGTCACGCCCGTGGCTTTAACACGCGTTACTTTTGCACACGGATTTATCCTCCTCACACGTGTCCACACGTGCCTTCGGCCGCAGAAAACAGAGGCGAGGCGTGTGCTTCTGCTTCTGCTGCTGCAGACTGGTTTGCCCAGTAACCTCTCACGCCAGCCGAGAGAAGATCTCTTCGAAGCAAGCTCGAAACGAACGCGGACGAACCGCATTCCTTCTGACGTTTCGTGCTACTACTATACTCGTCGCTCGACTTTCCTCTTCCTCTTGGACTTCGTTGAAAGCGACAGTGCGGGCGACGGAGGAAGTTCCCTCAGGCGGATGAACTGGTTAATCCGAGGAGGAAGTTCCTTTTGCTTTTCTTCTTTTTTTTCTCTTCTTCTTCTTCTAATGGAGCAGTTGGCTAGAGGTTTTTCGTTTACCGTTCGTTTCGAAGAAGAGCCGAGGCTGTTGATTTTTTAATTGTTCCTTCTTTTTCGTCCTTTTTTCTTCTTCTGTGAAGTAGTTGTCTGGGAATTTTTCGTTTACCGTTTGTTTCGGAGAGAGAGACTTTTAGAGGTAGAGAAAAGTGGTTAGAAATTTTCTAGATCTCTTTGGAATTTTAGCGATCTCTAATGTTCGTGCAATTTGGAAAAATTTCAGGCGAAATTTATCGCTGAGGATTTTGGAAGCGTGTGCTTAATTGTGAGAGATTTTGCAAAAATTTCAGGCGAAATTTATCGCTGAGGATTTCGGAAGCGTGTGCTTAAATGTGAGAAATTTTGGAATTTTGGTGATCTCGGATATTGGTATAATTCGGAAAAATTTCAGGCGAAATTTATCGCTGAGGATTTTCGAAGCATGTGTCTAAATATGAGAAAAGTTTCACTTTGGTTGGATCAATTTTTCTGTCGACAAGCATCTCCAAAATTTCTTCGTGAAGTGCCAGAATCTCCAATCCCTAAATTTTCTATTATATTAATTTTTGATCTCCAAAAACGTTATACGCAATTCTTTCCCAAAGTTTCCATAAGAATAAAAATGGAGAACGCACCATCTACGTTAGTAACAATATTAAAAAACAACTTCCCTCTTTCCATTCTGAACGTGTGAAAAGCATTTAAAAAATGCGACGATATCTTTCGAGATAAATACTGCACGAGTTAGCATGGAGGAGTCGCGTGGCACGGTTGGAGAAACGCAATCCGTGGCACGCAGCAAAGGGAGGTGCCAGAGCGTATTCCCTTGGAGGGTGAAGACAGATTGAAGTAATGAGCCACGATGGTCTAGGTCAAGGTCCTTGGCCTGGCTTTAGCAGTGGTATACACGAAATACACGAAGGGGCCACACCGATAGGGCACTGTTTATTCCCTCAAGTGTGCTACGTGTTACATGCCGATACACAGTGGCAGATTACGGGCGAGAAACGGCTAAGCAGGAAGGGATCGATGCTATCCTTTGGGGACCAAGGCGACGGTAATCTCGTCAAGGATTTTCAACTCGACTTGAGATCGTGCTAAACAATCGAAGTAACCTGACAGCCAGTTCGTCCAATTTTTCTCGCAAACCGTTCAATCTTCCACGCGAGTGGCGTTCGTATTTCTTTGGAAATCCGGCGTGGACCTCGCTCCGAGTTTGTGGAATAATTAGACGTTCATCTGGATTTTTGAGAAATTCAAACGAGTTAACAAAGTTTCCTCCATCTTCGATTCTACGCAAATTTTAACCCTGAGTTAGTTTATCGGGGTTCGCCACAAATTTCATTCTGTCATTTTTACAAGTGCAAAAGAGGCTCAATTTATCTCACTTATCTTAAGATAACTAAGAAAATTAAGAAACAGAAAGTAAGAATGTTAAATACTCCAAATGGCATAAAAATGCACCATTAAACTCACCTCCGTCAGGTAGACGATCGTTTGTATTCTTTTAATAATTATTTCCCTTCTGGGTGAAATTTATGCACGAATTGACAATAATTGTGCAAATAACAAAAGAAGTGTCACATTGTTGAAATACTTGAGAAAAGTTTGGAGAACGCGAGACATTAGGCATTCGCAACAGCCACGGAATTTCAACTCACCATAGAAACGACAGGAGGCGGAGGATTTCCGTTTCTAAGTGCCCCGGTTTGCTGGTTCGCCGCGGGATTCAGATTGTCCTTGGACTGCTGCATGGGATCCGGTTGATGAAGCGTTTGTTGCGTTTGTTGTTGCTGTTGTTGCTGGTGTTGCTGCAGCCCGCCTATGCCAGCCTGTGGACTGCCTAAGCCTGCAGGTGCGCTGTCAGGTGTGCTCACTTGACGGGCGATCTTTCGATAACTCTGCAACAGCGTAATCTTCCGTCAGAAAAATGATCCAAGTAAAGATTCAAACGTTCGCTCAGATCTAACGAATATTAGGCGTAGAAGTGAATTCTTTCCAATTGGATTCACCGAAAAAATGGCAAAAGTTCAACGACGATAAAGTGAATTATTTCGGTGATCGATCTGTTTTTATTCTTTTTAAATAAACCTTCGATTGTGCCCATTTAGAGAGACAGGAGTTAGTCGTGGTTTGCAATTTGACAGGTGTTGAATTTCCGTGGAGAAGTTGAACGTAACACTTCACGCGAGAAGTGTTCAGATTTCCTCTGAAATCGCTCGATGTCTGTCAGAGAGATCGAGAAGCAAGAGATTCAACGGCACTCGCGAAATGTATACACAAAGAGTATTCGCAATAGTATCGTTTGAAGTGAAAATAAATGTTCACGACGTTAGACCAGGGGCACGTATACTCCCGAAAACATGATCACGTTTACAGTTACGTCATTTCTAACCAAGGTTCGATGCAACGATCTTCAGCGACCTAACCGTAGGCTGGAGAGTGTACATTGTACGAAGAGGGCTTCGAAGACCATGACGTGTGTTCTCTTAGAACCGATAAAAGTCGCGAAGAATTCGAGAGGGTGTTGAATTTACGGGACAGAAACGAGCATGATGCCTCGGTGTCCAATTATCCAATAACTTTCATCCGTGGAACACGCGTCTCGAGGGAGGTTGAACGACACACACGGGCCGTTCTTTCCTCTCCTCGAGGCAAAGTGTTTTCTCCTTTTGGACCCTCGCCCACGCAATGGTGAACGACACGTCACGAGGGAACGCGACAAAGAGACGAGAGAGAGAGAGGAGAAGAAAGAGAAAGAGATAGACGGAGAGTGAAAAAGGAAGAGAAGGAAGAAACGAGAGCAAAGGGAATAGATAGAAGGAGAGAGAGAAAAGAAGAGAAAGAGAAAAATGGAGAGGAAGAGAGAATCAGTCAGCTTTTGAAACGGAGGAAGGAAGGAAGAGGCGAAGCAAGGCAAGGCAAGGCAGAAGGCAGGATGGTGTGCGGCACGGTAGCCGGTGTGACCCTAATGCTAAAAATACCAAGGTGGCCTAAGTAGGCCGAGCCGGCTGAAACGGTTTCCATAGTTCAACAAGCGCCGCTAGCCGACAGCTATAACCGGGCCCTTGCCCCTCTCGCCCCGTAACGCAAACTTGATCAATTATTACGACGTCCCCCGAGCGACGCTATCACCGTCCCTCGCGGACGCTTAGCGTCCCGCGCCACGGGAATTATCGACGAGGCCTCTCTTGCCGCGGATTTTCTTCCCGGCTACAACGTGCCGAGCTTCCTTCTTTACGTTCAAAACACCCGACTATCCGTTTAAACATCGCTCTCGTTTATTTTCCTAATTCACGCACCCTCGGAATGTTAGATCGATAACAATTAACCTTGCCGAAACTCCTATATTTATCCTAACATCAATGGAAACATCTGCAGGAGATTGATTATTGATAATAGATTAGTAGTCGATCGTACTCTGTTCAATCAATCAAGAACAAGTTTGCATTCTATAGCCTGACCGAAATCAATGCCTCGCTCAAGGACAATAGCGGGTAACCCCCCACCACAGAAACTACCTAACCTATTACTCTATCTATAATTCATTTGGCAAATGAAACAATGCGGTCTATATCTTTCACTGCCTTCTTCATAGAGAGAACAGTATTTCATTCCCCTACGTCGCTCTGATAAATCTTTCCTTATCGTTATCAATAAAATAGACACAACGAATTTCATTGCGACAGAGGCTTTACAACACATATACACAGATCGAAACTGAAAAGGAACAGCGATAAAATTTCAAAGCTCGTCATCGCTTCTTTACCTCGTGTCCTTGACCACTCGATTAATTTCATACTCTCGCTATATACGGAACCAAATTGATAGGTTGGACGATTACGGTCAACTACGTACCTACCAGATTGCCCCTGTACATCTGAACAAGATGTGCGCTATATTAACACTCCATAAACGTGTTTTCTCACCGTTCATTATCGTTCAACGGCAATATTCGCTTGATAACGCGACGAAGGACGTTGATTCGTTCCCAAGAACAGGAACGCTTGCCCGTTCACCGG